TTCACATCTTTCTTAATATTTCATAAAAATACATTACCAGTCAAAACCATGACCATTAACAAAAAAATTAATAAAATAGTTTGGAAAGATATTCATACATTACAGGAGTCTTTAAATGAAATTATTTTTAAAACAGAGAAATGAGGAGAAAGTCAGTCCAGTGTTATTTTAGAATTAATTATATATTATAGTATATAGTGTTACTTTCAATTTTTGAAGTTTCATTTTTAATTTTAGTAGTTTTGTTGTAGTTTTAGTAATTTTGTTATGTGCTTGGTTAATCAACAGTAACTCACCTCCTCGACAAGCCTGAATGAAGAACATCTTTGGCTTATTCTGGAGCAGAGGGCAGCGGGCGTTATCAAAAACCTCAAACACCCAGTCCAACTGAGAGACAGAGAGAAACATTTGAAACTCTGATATGTAAAGGAATCTTTTACAAGGTAATACATTCACTTCAAAAGGAACTCACATATTGATGAACGTATAACTGTGTGTATAACTAAGAATAAATAGTGATGCACGAAAATAAATATCCTTAGCTGAAACCAGTAACTCAAAAACCGAAAAATATATTTTTAACTTAATTAAAACGTTTTTTTGAATAATTGTATTAACATTATTGCACTTTTTTTTCTTTTTTTTTTTTACAAAAAAATCTAAATGTAAGTTTTAATTTAGACGAAAACTGAAATCAAAAATGCATTTTATTTGATAATCAATTAATTTATTGTATTTAATAATCAACCATTTGTACACACATTTAAAATACACATAACAGTTTTTATGTCAACTTTTAAATAACAGAATTTGTCGTTGAAATATAAACATTTAAATGGTGGCTGTAATAAAAACTTGTTTTTATGATAGATTTATTCAAATATAAAAAGTAAGACAACAGGTTAAGTAAAAAATATAATAAATATGTAATATAATGCATATATTTAGGATAATGCTCTTGTCTAGTTATTTGTTTCTAGCTGATTATCCAGTTTATGGACATTAAATGATTTTCCTGAGATAAATGTAATGTTGTGACATTGTTTACAAGCTGTCAGATGTCTTTCCATGTTTGAAACACTGACTAGGCAATTATGAGAATGATACATCGATTTCAGTGAGTTGTACTGTTTCTTTCAACATACATTCATGTTTATTTTGTGCCATGACTAACAGGAAATAGGAAAAGATGATCAGTTACAGCGATCTGTTACGCTACATTAAAAAGCATCAAAACCACATTTATTGTTTGTATATCATGATAAAATTTGAATTTCTATAATAATGAAAATTTGAAATGTGATACTATTTCATATTAAAAGTAACAAAGTACAAAGCTTATTGGATGGCAGGTGAGCTACAAATAATGTTTAGTGAAGTTAATGCATCAACAGAAAACAGCATAGACTAAAAGCTTTCTCTTAAGATTCAAGAATCCATATCAGTATCGATAAATTTTTTTTTAAAAGAACATGAAATGGATATTGTTATTCTATCACTAGTGGTATTAAAATCAAGTGCACCTCCAGCAGCTGTCCATCAGTGCCGTAGACAGATCCCTCAACTCCATGTGACAGTAAACACACAACAGTGCAGTCATACTCTGCATGCTCCTGCCGCTGGGCAAACTGTTCTAGGCACCTGCGCATTGCCTGAAAAAAACAAATCAAAAACTTAATAATTGACTTTGCTTTGCAGGGCAGTTTGACTCTGCAGCATGTCTAACTCACCACCGCCGTTAGGTCTTTGTGCAGGCTGACTGTGAAATCCAGCTCCATAAAGAGTCTCCTCAGCGTCTCCTCATCCACCTCTCCTCCCCTCCGGACATCTAAATCAGTGTTAGCTGAGTCAAACCTCACATTACTCAACACCAGGGCCAGCCCTCGCGGACAGGAGCGCATCGGGTACGCCTGAAAGGAAAGACATTTGCATAGAGGTTACACACTGTGCTAACATAGCATAAAATAAAATGCATATAAAATGGGTTTTTGTCTGCGAGTATCCAAAGGAATAGAGTTTGTGTCCTTATACCTGTGATCTATGGGACTGGAAAAATTCCGGCATACAGGGAACAACAGCCGTGGTCACGGGAGAGTCGGCATCCAAACACATCTCCATGGACTCTAAAACACACACACAGACACAAACAACCCCATTAGCTCAAAAATATTAGGCTCATCTCACATAATTTTCCTTTATCTATTATGCTTTCTTCCATAACAAGTATGTTTAAATATGCTTGTTTGTCAATTGAACTAAACCTGAAACAATTAATTATTAAATGGAAAACCTATACTAAAATTAGAAATGTTGCATAAAAATGACATACATACAACATTCGCCTGTACGTGTTTAACGTAATAACCATTCAGAGAAAAGCAGCTCCAGCTCTTGGTACCATGAAGCTTGTTGTCACATAGAAAAAAATGACCATTCAAAACAGCAAACCTCCAGGGAATTAATCACTGGTAGTAGATAAAGTCATTTACTTAACCATCCTCTTTGATAAGATGTCCTGTATCCATGTGTACAACAGTACCAGATATTTGGCATAGAGTGTGCATGGCATAGATCTCATCATTAGCATAGTATGCACAAAGCCTGCTTTATCGTAGTTCAATAAATGTTCATTTTAAAACTGAAGTATACTTTGGGCTTTATGCACAAACATTAAAATGGCTCACCATGAGTCCGGGCTCTTTTCACAGGTATAACACATTCCTGAGTTGGACGAGACAGTGAGGGCTCTGAAAAGCTTTTCTGTGAAGATAAAATAAAAATAAAAACTTACAGTTAGTTCACAACCCACTATTCCAAAGGAAAGGAGAGTTTGAACTTGTCTGTTTGACCGTTGTTTTTAAAGAATCTGTGTAGTTTGGGTGTGGTAAACTGGTGCATAATACTTCCCATTTAGTCCTACCCTCTCTCCCTCTCGTTTACTCCACTGACCCAGCTCTGACCTCTGTGGGTGGCGTCATTTCTATACGTCTCTATGGTCATAAGACTGATCCCACAATTCTTCCTGCAACTTACTGTCTTGAGAAAATGTTGTATTTTGGACAAGAATATATAAAGTGTTTGGTAAACAGTATAAAACTTGAAATATATAGAAAACAAATAAGCTTTATTTTCCTTCCATTGAGTACAGCAGCTTTATGGGACAATCATTTAGAATAATGATGCACAAAACATTTTTTCCTATGAATACAACAATGTGCTTTCATTGCTAAAGAAGACTTTTCTGGTCCCTCACTGCAACCCATTATGTTCTTATAGAAACCTGTCAAGTCAGTCTAACTGGGTGTGATTCCGAAGTGAAGGCACCAACTCACGTCTTTCTCTGTGAAGTCCATGAGCAGTCTGCTGAGGTGCTGTTGCTCTGTCGCCGTAAGAGCAGCACAGAAGCTGCTAAAAGCTTGAGGGCCACGTTTAGGCAAAAGAAACAACAAATGACGACTCTTGCCCTGGGATGTCGGTTTAGCCTGAAAGGATTCAAATGATCTCATGGTTAAAAATAATCAAAGCATTATTTATGAGGCTTTCCACACCTATTAGGACTGTAACATTTAAATAAATAAAGGCTGCCACTTATTGGGAAATGGCTATTCAAAAAAAAAAAAAAGTACTTTATAGCATTTTACAACATTATACAACGTTTTCTACATAAAACATAATTTTTTAGCATAGATTCCATGTAGATCTATCCAATATAGAACTAATACCAAGCTAATACTTTAACATGCCATAATGGTTTCAGCCATGTTTTCTGTAAGAATTCCATCTTGTTGTAGACACTGGATCAGCAGATCATCCACCACCAAGTCCTGCAGAATTGTGACAGAGTTCTTCCTGAGCACTCGTCTCTCCCATTCTTTCATGCCACACTCTCCCAGCATGATGAACCTCTGAGTTTAAAAAAAGGAAAGACAGTTACAAAACGCTCCCATTATAACAAACAAGTTTATATAAAACTAATTTAAGTATTCTTTTTTTTATCAAAAAACTGTAAGAGTTCAAATAACAGCTAACAGTTATAAAAATGTACAATTATACATACATAAAAAATGTTTATAACTTAACTTCAAAAAAATAAGTGACACTGGAAGTGACCATGGAATTTGAATGAATTGATTATTATTGCATAATACTAAATTAAAGCCTTCTGTGTATATATATATATATAGTGTGTGTGTGTGTGTGTGTGTGTATAAATATATACGACTGTATTTATCATGATCACTGTTATGTAAAAAGAAAACATTGACATTATTAATTTTATGAAGTATTCAGACATGTATTTGTTGTGCTGACTTCATTCTAACTTCAAGTTAAAAATATATATATATTATACTATTTTGATGTTACCATGCAACAGTCAAATGTCATTGCAACTATGCCTCTTTTGCATATAATGTATAAAATATAATTTATTACGTTTTTCTTTTGAATTTGGGGTGAAAGTGACCTTCCAGTCTATGTTCATTATGTCAAAACATTCAGCATAATAACACGCACAGGTGATCTGCATGCCTCCAGTGTTCTGCTACTGTCTACAAGTTATAAAGGCCACGAGGGTCACTTTACCTGTTTTGATACGGTCCTTGCCGTGTGAAGATGACAGTAAATGACACTATAATGACGATGTATGAAGGGTGATGTTGATTAGATGTAAATCCAAAATGATGAATGCCAGCTCGCGCCGCAAACTAGCTTAGCATGCTAATCAAAACAAAAATAAACACACCTGTCAATATAAAATACTGCTGACACTAACTTTATCATAAAAGCAGGCCAGCTGCTAAACTTCAGCTAAAATAGTTTTCCTAGGCTGTTTATCAAGTTGACCGATACAAAAATAAACCAAATTAACAACGAGCTACACAATACTATTAGCTGTAAGGTGCTAGCACTTCATGTGAGCTTTGCTGTTCTCGACGCAAAATTCATCCTTTAAAAATTCATTTTCTTTTTTGTCTCATTCTCGAGGCAACACGCGGAACGACAGACTTCGTGCCGAAAATTGCATTTTTTAAAATAACTGACAATACTCTGATTCCCTCTACAAACTTCCGCGGGTGATGATGGAGCTTGGCAGCCAATAGGCATTTCGTCTGAAGATGATTGACGTGAGGAGAAGCCTATCGCAGCCCCGTCCGCCCACGAAAGGGGCGGGCGTCTGTTTCATCCACTTATTTGAAATGTGAAACTTGTGTAATACCTCACACACATCGTTGTTAGAAATACAGTTCATTTAGGGATTCCATGATTTAAAATGACCATTAATTATCAGAGCAAGTCTCATTTCTGTTCACATTTTATTTCAAGTTTCCATATTTCCCAGACTCGCTTAACATCCTCATTGGACTGTAGACTTCCTACCCTCGCAGGTAGCAGCTTGTGTGTAATCACTGATCGTGATCTATATAATATCTCTGTTATAGATCAGTGTGTGTAGTGCTATATCATCTAACATCAGACAGAATTCCAGAGGTTTTAACTCTGGTTTTACTTTGATGACACCTAACTATACTTCTGAACGCACAAATCACATCACTAATATGCCTAATTTAGGCCTACATATACTGCATTAATTGAAAATAGCACCACGTTTTCTAATATTTCTATTATATGTAGCATTAAATGGTGTATAATTTAGAGGTGAATAGTGAATAGTGTTTAGTTCCATGATTCCAGGATTTTATTTGCATTTGACATAGGCTGTAATTTGCTAGATTAACTTTCCAGAATGACAAATGGATTCAAAACAGATTCTAAAGAAGAATTTTGTTATCACCAATATGGAAAAGCAAATGACAATTTTAAAAATGTAAATGATCATTATTATTATTATTAATAAATGGTCAAAGCAGATAACTTAACACATTTTTAATTAGTTAATTATTTAGCTCATAAATCATTGCAACAAACAGAAAAAGACTCTACTAGATTGTATTATAAGCATGCATGGATTCATATGTGAGCTCTAACAGGAACAGACAGCAACCAGTTTGGACAACTTGGAGCCCAAGTGGTGTATCATGGCAAATTTAACAGGCACAAAACAAAACCCACCATTTACTCTGTTTTTTTTTTTTTTTTAATCATGTCTAATGCCAGTTGTCTCATTTAGGCACTGAAAATAAACTAAGAGATTTTATGTGTAATAAAAATACTAATTTTCACCTAACATGGCATATACGCCACTAATATAAAATGTATAACCTGCAACTTTATGCTGATGATAGAGGCCATGAAGAAATTGAGAATGTGTAATTAACCAGCTTGTGTGGAGACCTGTTTTGGTCGAACATCTCTCTTTGAGTTTCAAAACCGTAATAACTGCCCAGCCTCTTCTCATTGGTTGATGTGATTTGGTCACATGGGAAGTAAATGGTCATCCCTTTCCTCTTGCTCCTCCCCAAGAGGTTCAGTAGTCACGCCTCTGTATGTGGGTCGTTCTTCTCTGTTGCCACGGGAACGACAGACAAAATCACATCCATCCTGTTACGATAAAAAAAAAAGTTATATTGGTTTCATAAAAGGAAAAAAAAAAGACCAAAACAGAAGATGAACTTGGGAAGTTAAATTAAAAAAATTTTAAAAAAACAGCAGCACTTCTGAAATAGGAACATGCCTGCTGAACTGAACATCTCTCTTTGAGTTTCAAAACTGTAATAACTGCCCAGCCTCTTCTCATTGGTTGATGTGATTTGGTCACATGGGAAGTAAATGGTCATCCCTTTCCTCTTGCTCCTCCCCAAGAGGTTCAGTAGTCACGCCTCTGTATGTGGGTCGTTCTTCTCTGTTGCCACGGGAACGACAGACAAAATCACATCCATCCTGTTACGATAAAAAAAAAAGTTATATTGGTTTCATAAAAGGAAAAAAAAAAGACCAAAACAGAAGATGAACTGAGACAAATATATATGTAATTATACTTACAGCAGATAAGTTGCCGATCTCTGACCAAAAGGTATAGTTGGGGAACTGTTCAACTCCCTTGGCTCCAACTACCAGTCGCTGATAAAGGAATCCACCAGTGAGATACACAGCCAGGCAGCAGAATACACTATGGACAGCAAACAGGAACATGATTACATATAAAATATGAGCAAAAGACATTAATGTTTCTCCTTAATCGTCGTCTGTGAGAATTTTAAAACGGACATAACTCACAGTCTCTGCCAATCTCATGCTAATCTTGAGTAGCTACAGACTAGAGTAGAGCGCAGCTTTTGCATAACGATCATCTGCAAGCTGTGACATCGACATAAATAAAACAGGAACAAAAACTTTATTGACTTAAATTAACTATATGGCTAATGAATTAATGAATGAAGCACGTTGATGCTGCTCTTGCTCTCGCTCTGATTGATGTGCGCGCGCACTCTTCCGGGAGACGTGCCCATACAAGGAATCCCGCCATTTATGACGTTATATAGGACTTTCCTAAATTTGTACGAACCCTGAAGGAGTGTATTTATTTGGTGAGACTTATTTGGTCATGTTTAGTCCGAGAATCCAACACTTCAACAGTGTAAATAAGTCAGAAAGCATGAAATAGCATTAGAACTCCCCTTTAAAGTACTCACATAATAAGGAATATGGAGCCGGCACTGAGTTTAGATGGGATTACAGGACAGACCGCATTGGAGTCCAGCTCAAACAGGTAATAACAGTCCTGTTGCTTCTTATTGTCCTCCAAAACCACTGAAAACGCATTCTAACAAAACACATGCACACAAAATTAATAATTCATAGGAGCTAAGAAATAATAACGAGTTGAAATGATGATGACATTCTGGTTATTGTCAGGGTAAAAGCTACTGTGCTATCTTGAATACCTGAAATAATTTAGTCCAAGCATGATAAAGCACTAATGCTACTAACAGAATTTTGCATTATTTTCAGAAAATTTTCATCAACAATATATCAAAAATAGATGTGGATCACGTGTTGACAGAAATACAACTAATACTTTTGTTATGAGGATCAATGATAACGCTAAACTTATTCTTTTTCAGATCTAAAAAAAATGATTTAAAAATACATAAACAAAATAGCAGATGCATTTTATTTAAATATTGTAGGGGTATAAAGTAACAAATGCCAAGTGTCATTTCGAAAGCATTAAAAAGTTCATACCGTTGTGCTTGTGCTGCATGAAATCATAATCATGGCTTTTCTTGCCTCTTGTGAACAGTGGCTGTCGTATTTCTCTCCCCCTTCATAGAAGAGCAGAACCCAGTCACCTGCACCAAGAACAAAAGGAGAACTAAGGTCAAAAATGAGTTAACAAGGCTTCCTGTAACACCTGGAAAAAGTTCTGTAATTTAGTGAACTTTGATGTGTGTTTTAAAGGGGTCATATGATGCGATTTCAAGTTCTCCTTTCTCTTTGGAGTGTTACAAGCTGTTGGTGCATCAAGAAGATCTGTAAAGTTGCAAAGACTAAAGTCTCAAATCCAAAGAGATGTTGTATTAATGTTCTCTTGCAACGCATCCCTGCCAAAATTCAGTAGTCATTATTATAAATTAACGTTGATAACAATTAAAACTGAATTAACTGTTATTTTAATATTAATTCAAAGAGATATCGAAGAATGTAATGGTTTCAGAAAAGTCTACCTGTAGCAAAAAGAAGCAAATGGTAAAACGTCACTTCTAAAGGTCAAGCAATGTAACATACTTCCTCTGATAGCATGTGTGTTGGTGTAGTTCCCAATTCGGACTGGCTTTCCTCCTTTTATGTCTTGCTGCACAAGACCTGCATCCTTTATTCCGCCAGCATCTCCACACACCTGAAAAATATACGAAAATTCCTTCTCCTTTCCTATTGTGGTGAAGCTGTTTAGAGTGAATATGAAGACAGTTATTAACATTAACAAGACCAGCACAACCTGCAAACCGAATGAATGCTCGATTAACTGCAAAAAAACCTGACTTACTTTTGATTGGTGAGAGGCTCCAGTAAACGGAGCGCATTTTGCTCAGACTCGCTATGTGAAATCAGCTTGCAGTTGTCTGTGATGAACTCCGCTTGTACTCCAGCAAGTAGGACGTAAAGAAAAGTGATGATTATTCTCAGAGACAGCAACATGACTTTCAGCGGTGACACCTGATGGGAAAAGGGCACTACATTAAAAAAAAAAACGGTCAGTGAATTTATCCAATGATTGACTAACGCATGCATCCAAAATATGGGCAGTGTAACAGTAGCCTGACACAAGATACGCATATAATACACATTTCATTATACAGTATGCACAGAGCATTTTATGATTAGTGAAGGGCACAAATTAGACAAACTGTGTCCTTTTTCCTGGTTAATTTCCTGGTTAATTTTGGCATCTCATAATAAATCACATTTTGTTTTGCTATTAGTTAGTATAGGTAGTTTTTGAATGGTGCATATCTTTAACACAAATGTATATTTCACAAGTAACTCAAAGACTAATTCCCGAGTCATGTGAAATATATTTGGTCAAAACTGATTGACAAAATTGCACTCTGAAACGCCAAAGTCATCAGTGGCTCTTAAATATAATCATATTTGTAAAGACTACAGACAAAACTGTTATGCAAATAGAATTTTAAATGCATCTGCATGTTTACAAATTGCTGGCAAAACTACAAAAGCCTGGCTGTAATGCAAAAAAAAAGACAACACAAAAGTTATACTGCATGGATCCAAGCTGAAGTAAGCAATGAAGCAAACGGTAATGAAGAACTTTAGTTAGGAAACCAGATAAACATGCTGTTAGCATAAGCTGTCATCTTTAAAATACATGAAATGAAAGAAATGCACCTTTCGGGATTCCTATGACCGTGTTTACTGTAGATGAATAAAAGTAAAGGTCTTAATTAGCTGTCTAGTTGTGTCCACCCAGCCTGGGGATCTTCTCTTTCCCAAACTGTCGCACTGATGTCTTTAAACAACACTTAACGACATAACGTCAAAATGTCCGCTGGTATCGACAATCACACATTGAATAAACAAACTTCTGACTATATTCGCGTTAAAACGCTTGCATTATTGAAAGGATTTAATGGTTTCTGTTCAAACGCGGAAGTGAAACTAAACAGG